GAAGCTCTACCCCCCTCTTCCTCCCAACTCTACAAAATTAACGAATTAAGCGAAAGATTTGAAAAAGCGAAAAATAACCTCACTTTCAGCGCTTTTACACAGCTAAAACTCCTCCAAACAAGCTCCGACCACTTTATACCCCCACATCACGATCGAAATTGAAGAAATAAGAAAAATTAAGAAAAAATGAGGAAAAATAAGGAAAAATCGCGTTTTTCTAAGCTTATTTACCTCTTTCCAGCCGGTTTCAGCCCCCTAACCAGGTCCAGATGGCCGCGGGTAACTATCACACGCGCTGCACAAGTAAAGAGAGGGGGAAATTTGAGGGGGGGGGGGGGAGAAAAGTGAGAAATTGCGAGACTTTGAACTAAAAACAAAAAAAACAAGTCCGGGAAGGTTTATAGATGGGCTCCCACAGGCGGAGCCCCTGCATTTTCTCCGAATATATGTGGTGTCCCCCTCGAATACGAATAGAAGAACGGCTATCCCAGCCCGTCATCCCCACTCTCCACGGAGATAAAATTCAAAATATACATCATCGCCTTTATATAGCGCCTCCTAAGTTGAAGCTATGGGCATGAGCTACCCTAGAAAAATGGAGCTACCAAAACTACACGCTAATAACCGTATGAGATTACCCCAGCCCTGCAACTCTTAGAAATATAAGCGCGCAAAATCGCCCTTATTGACAGATTTCCCAATTCGACTCAATTAGGCACTTTTCTTGGAAACTTGTTATTCTACAACCTTTTCTCTAATAATCATATTTTCAGAGATCTGTCCAACAAAGCGAATACCAGCCCCATACCTGTAATATTCGCAGAGTTATTAGCCCCAACATGCACGCTCAGGCCGTAAAATTGGCTCCCCCAAAGTTGCTCCGTAATTCCCCCAAAAATCACGTTAGACACCTGTCTCATACTTATACCCTATTTTCAGGTGTATAAGCCGCGGGGTGGTCCTAGCTTACATCGAGCAGCCCGAACACATCAATGGACCTCGCATCCCAAGGACCCTATACCGTGCTGCGTATTGCATGAAAGAATCGTGCGGCATAAGGATCGCTTCTCGAAACACAATGAAGCGGCTGAGCAGCCCGGGCGAAAATTTGAAAAAGTGCGGCTTATACACCTGAAAATAGGGTACATTACATATTTTTTCCAGCTTCTTAGAAGCAATACACATTGATATAGCGCGATCGCTCCTCACTATTGGCCTCGGCGCAAAATTTGGTCAAAATATTGAGGTTTTCGGATTGACCGCAAACTTCACTCATAGTGGTTCTTGGTCCCGATCTTTACGAAAATCCTATTTATTTTGCACTAGAGAGTCTTACAGTAAAGCTAAAGTAAGATAGAAGTAGCTGAACCAATCAAGATCGCAACTTCGCCTGCACTTTTCCCCTACCTGTTGCGGAAATTGTCTGCAAATTTTTGTGAGTTGAAAACTTTGTGAACACCTCTATCGGACCAAGCTTAGCACAGATCTTTATTTGAATTGTTCGTCAGATTATGATGTTACAAAATCGCCTTCTCATGAATTCTCTTTCAAATTCGAAAGTCGTGTAATTTGGCAGATATTCTATCCTACAATGTGCCACCAGCAGCAAAACAATGTAGGAAATGTTGTTAGCACGTCGAGTACAATACCGCTCACAGAATGTGCAAAATTTCCCTGATTATCGCAAAATTCCAAAAATTCCGCGAAATTCCTGGAATTTCGCGAAACTTCGCGAACTTTCGGGAGTTTCGCGAAATTCCGGAAAGTTCGCGGAATTTTCGGAATTTCGCGACATTCACGGAGATTTTGCAAGTTATGTGAGTGGTATTGTAGAATGCAAGAAGATGCCCAACGATTGTTACAAGAGCGCAACGATACCAGTGTGGAAGAACAAGGGGGATATAACAGACTGCTCTACATACTATGTCCATATGGTAGATTAGGAGATTGCGCGAAAGTGGGAGTGGTGTACCAAATTGAATGTCTTAGCTGCAAAGCATCATATATCGGAGAAACTGGAAGATCACTCAGCATTTGCTTGAAGGAACACTTAGCAGATAAAAGGCGTCAAAGCTTAGTTTCACCGCTAGGAAAGCACAGATGCGAAGCGCATAAAGGAAACGATTTCAACATCAAATGTAAGATTCTATCTTACGAAAGGGAGACCCCGGCTAGGAAAGCGATGGAAGCGGTTCTGGATATTTGCGAAGAATTCAGCAATGAATAACTCTGTCAATCACTGCTGAGTTCCTTCCTTTCATATCGCTATGTCAGCTACAGATCACATTCGATGTGCATCTATAGAGTGACTCATTCGTCCGCCGCGACCATTCACTTCCGGTGCGGACTTCTCGCATATCGGTGGTCTTCCGGTACGTCATTCAGCTCTGCACAATTTCCACACTAGCAAGACTGAGGGAAAGCCGAAAACTAGCTTGTTTGGAGGCGATCTTTGGTGGCGTTGAGTCTTGGGTGACACTTTGAACCATTTTCAGGCCTCTGAGGAAGACGAAGGTGTCGAAACGTTGGCCGTGAGATTGGAAATAAAGACCACTTACCAAACCTGTGTGGCACAGAAGTAATTTAAAGACGCGAACATGCCCAGGTTTTATGAAAACGGGACTTGAAAGTTATTCTATGAACTGTTATGACTCTGAAGAGTCGTAATATAATGAAAGGTTTTTCTTGTGTTGACTTATGCTATGGAACAAGAAGACGGAATTGATTTTCCTTCGCTGCAATCACATTCCGTCAGTCATGTATTAGGTTGTCCCGAAAGTTTTGTCGGTTTTTTTATCGCTCACTAGAACTCACAGAACATCACTCCATAAACGGCTCAGGCACCATTTGATTCAGATTTTTCTTTTCTTTCTTACAGTTATACCTGCTCTCTGATCTACTCTGTCTTTGCAATGTTATTGCCATGGCTTTTCGAGCAGCTTTACGGTAACTTCAAATCTTTCCTGAATTTTAGAATTTTTTAATCTGATGTTTTCAAAGAGCGCTGGTGATTGTTATATGGAGCAAACCTTTGGCTACACTGCATCCATTTTAGCTTACATGAATTGCGTTTACCAAGTCCCGTAATAATTATTTATTCGAAAAAACCGCGGCTTTTTGATTAAGTTCATCACGTAAAAGTACCAAAAATTCCAAAAAGCTGCTTTTTCGAAGCGAATCCAAGTTGGTTATGTTGCTTAAATAATGTTTAGTAAGAATTATGTTTCAGTACGCAGAAACTTCAAAAGCTTTCACGGGTTTTATGCAGTTGCGTGTTTTATGACTTTGCCGAAAATAAACCTCCGGAAAAATTATTTTTTGAACCTAAAATCAGCAGTTTAGGAGAATATAAAAAACTATCTTGTAGTCCGAGAGTTGCTCTATTTGATCCATAGTTAATCCTTTTCGATATTATGTAATGAAATTTTTAAAAATTAGCCTAACTTTGAGCAGGTAAAATTGACAGGGGTGAGAATTTTGGCAATTATTAAAAAAAGCGTACAAGATTATGGAAAGAAAATGTATCCATAAGAAAGAGAAGGAAAAACTGCATCGAATGCATGTTGAAACTCGCTCAGGCCTTTATTGTGCGTGGTTTTACAGTGGTTTGAAAAAACCGACAAAACTTTCGGGACAACTTAATATTATAGTTTGGCTGGCATCCCATAATGATTGAATTCTAATCCCTCATAAGTAAGCCTCAATAACGAACATAGACTATTTTTTGGGCGATTTATTGGGCACTTTCACCAATTTATTGTCTCCCTTGGATAATCTAAGGTTCGGCTAAGAGTTGAGACAGCGCCAGACATCTCTCGAGCTTTCTCTAGCCAGCACAGCGCTATTGGACCTTTTAATGAAGAATACCATACCCGCTCCCAACAAAATGACAGTCTGCGATCTAGATTAGCTGAGAGAGGTCGCGCAACTGTGGAACTAAGAAAGAAAGCTTTCATTTACAACTGAACCATTTTACATGGTCATGCAAAAAGGATTGGTAAAGCTCATTACTAGCTCGTATTGGAGAGAATGCACTGTTGCGGTGTGAGGCAACTAAAAAAGGAGACAAAATCAACAAAGGAGCAGAGCACTGTGCGCTGAGACAGCAGGAGTAGAAAGGAAGAGGAGAAAGTGCAAGGGTAGGGTGAAGCAAAGAAAAGAAATTAAGGGTTGAGTAACTCTTTTAGACCGGATATGAAGCCTTCGCCGGGCCGTTGCGACTCTCGGTCCCGCGCAACTGTGGACTCCATCTAGTCTTACACGAAAAGGATGGGTAGTTAGAGTAGCCTTATGATGGAATGTATACCATTTTGGAGGGCATAATAATTGAGTCTGGATGACAAGTTGTGAGCGTTTAAAAAAAATGAATGGCAAAAAAGATAAATATAATCACAGATTTTTTCTAACGCTTATATGGTGCATTAAGTATGAACAGAGCACTTTATACAATCAATTCTCCCGTCACAATACGTCCAACTTCACTGCCTTATTTAGCGCTAAAAAGATTGTGTTGTAATGATTGTAAAGGGACGTGTTTATGTTGTGGCAAAAGGAATCAAAAACACCCATACACCAAAAATGTTCAGAGCAGGCGTTAAGCATTGGTGTGAAGGCTGAGCGAGTCAGCCAATTTTCGGTATTTTCAATCCGCTTGGACCTGTGAATCCACCGCGCGCAGATTTCAATGCACAGAGCATAGCTTCTTGAATTGAATCCAAGTTTGTACACCGCCTTTACAGCATAAACAATCTTAGCTATTGCTTGAACAAGGGGTGGTGCAGAGCAAAGTTCAAAATTTGCATAGGTTCGATGCGCATTTTTACCAGATATTATTATTTTCGTCTTGCTCACGAAAATAAATACACGTACTGCTTCGAGTGTACATAAATAAAAACTTTTTTGGAGAAACGGTCTTAAAATAGCAACTTGATACTGTAAGTTTGAAAACCATATGTGATAAAAGCTGGCACTGTGTGCTTATTGCAGCTGCTAAATTATAGATGTACCTAAATTTTCGCTGTCCTGGATGAATGACATAGCTCATGACGACGCAAGAAGTCTGTACTCGAACGATTACGATCTTTATACTTTTTTAAAAAAACACAAAAATATGGTAAGTGACTTGCTAAGTTCTTTTGTTAAGTGATTTATACAGCACGCTTTTCTCAATGGAATCATTTCAGTTCAAAAATTCATTCTTCTTCTTTTACGGAGATCACGGCTGCAGATTTGGAGAGGTCTAAATTAACAAACTGTGATCGTTTACTTCTAAATGATTATTTGATTTTTAGGAAGGTGAAGTTGCAGGAAGATCAGAATCTTCTAACCCCTTTCTGTACGTCGTGATTCCGGAACGCTATCGACAATCACCGATATATAAACAGCTTCTAAAAAACAGTGAAGAGCTTGTGACACCTCATGATCTTCATTCGACTTTCAAAGATATCCTATATGTGAGTTCGAAAGTGTAATGCGCAAGTACTTACATACTATACGAAAAAATTTTATTTCCAACCTCAATACAACTTCACGGACATCAGTTTCAAAAACTTCACAAGTAATCCACGTGGATCCTCACTACTTCGTCAATTTCAACTGAATATGAGTCGCAACTGCAAAACATTGCCGATCCCTTACACGTACTGCTTATGTCAATATGGTAGAAAAAACGTGAGGTAAACTATTACCAGCTTCAACTGAGTTAAGGTCACGAATGAGAAAAGTATGAATTAGGTTAACTCTAATACCGTCATCGCTTTTAGCGTTTCCATTTATTTACGGACCCACTATCGCACTAAGGTGCGCATCAGGGGATAGATAGATAAGGGAATCAAGTCATAAAGCGCTTCGTGTTCTCCTACAAGCCTTAGTGAGGAAATCGAAAAATAAAAAGCCAATAGTGAGACTTTTTATCTCGAGTTTATGGTGTTTTTTAAACAGAATTTGAATGAAAGAGAACAGCTTGTGCAAAAGTCTTTTTTTTTACGGTTAAGGTAATGCAAACATAGAGGAAGCCTCACCATTAAGGGCTGACTTTCTTTTCTCTTACTGAGCTATTAAACTCATTAAAAGCTAATGGCGGTTAAATGCCAAGTAGTTTTTTGATGTGCAAGATAATACTCAAACAATATTCCCTTACCATGCGCAGAAGAAGAGGATAACCACTTAGAAAGTTGGCCCGTTTATGCACTCTAAGGCCCGTATGCACGTAGATCCCCGCTGGGAAGGGGAGGTGAGCTGAATCCCCAGGGGAACGATCCCCTCCACTGAACCCTGCTATGACAGAGGGGAGGGAAGCGATCCCTTTCCCTGCACTTACAGCGGGGATGGTGTGCTTGCGGTAGTCGCTTATACCCATACCTTCGATGGTATAGAGACAGGGCGTCAAAAGTGAAGGTTGTTTGAACATCTGACGTCATAAATAGTGGAGGTTGTTTAAAGAAGATCAGAGAAGAAAATATGACGTAAAAGAGATATAAAAAGCAAAAGAAACTGCTGAAAACCGGATAAAAACGCTGCAAAGAGGTCTGAAATCTTTCAATTGGCGGCTTTTCAAAGTGCAAGTTTTCGCTCCAGGACCAGCAATTCCAACATGGGGTTTTGATTTTTGATGCGTCCTTTGAATTTTTACCCCCGCATTGACGTTCCTGTTTCCTGGGACGTTGCCTGGATTGTTGCGCTTATTGTTCTGAGCAATAATCGCCCAAGCTGGAAAAAAATTGATGCGAAAGCACTGAAACAGAACAAGGTAAAGCAAAACGCACTTTTTGCGATTTTTCGCAAAAAATTTCACCATAATCGAAGAGGTAAGGGCTGGGTGGTTGCCTGCATTATAAACAGAAGCAAGATATATAGAATGCGCGAAAAAAAGCGTGAAAATAGTAAAACTAGGAGAAAAACAAGAGATTTTCGAAAACAAGGTTTTTGCCGGATTTCTCGATCAAACCAAAAAATGTGGTTCTGGGACGTTGTCAGCGTGAAAATAGAGATCAAGAGCTTCAAAATGATACATAGCTTGCCAAAAGTGGATTCGAAACAGCGAAGAAAAGGGTACCAGAGCCAAATGCCCCGCGCCCCGCGTTTGGGGTAGCGAGGTAGCGCGCAGCGCGCGGAGACGCAGACGAGCAGCGGAGACAGACCGAGCCGACGGGGCATTTGGCTCTGGCAGTAGATCTCCGCGGGGTCTCAACGAAACTCTGCAACATTAGATATCATTCTGATCGTCATGACACGACGAGGAGAAATAACAACGTCCCAAGCTTTGAAAATCACTCATTAACGAGATAGACTAGCGTTTTTGTGCGCGACTCTCTGCGCAAGATTTAAGCGCAGTTTCTCGTTTTTATTCAACTCCAATAGCTTTCCTAAACTTCTGAAACTCGATTTTGTTCAAATGTGAGGATAACTGGGAAATTTTGCTTTGAATTTTGGCGAAGAATCAACGGAAACCTTCTTTTTAAGGTGAAAAAGGCTATGAAAACGCGAATTCTCGGTTTCGCTAAGATAAGTTAAAGGTATTATTCCTTATATTTGCTTCATTAACATTCGTTCCGATATAGTCAGGATAATAACATGGGCGAAGCCCCGGATGACTACTGTTTTTTTCCAGGTGAAGGTTGTGTCCCCCCCCCCCATAGCCCTCAAAGTGAAGGTTATCAGAGTACGTGGCTCTATGTATCGAGGGTATGCTTATACCTACTACAAGAACTCGCCGAAAAAGTTATTTTTGGTCAATTCTTGTGTGTACTAGAATGGCCTTCGAAACGAAATGTACAAAAATAGTATTCGCGTGCAATTGCCCTTTCTCACTCTTCTCCTTCCACCCTTCCCATTTATCTCTCCCTCCTCCGCTCTTTTGTTCTCCGTATGATTACTATTCTAAAGCTTCCTTATAAACTCGCTACGTGCTTTCAATAGTAATAATGTTGATTTTTAAAGTAAAGTGTGCCTATTTCGCAGTTCATGTTGAGATTTTCCTGCAATTATGTTGTGGCGATGTGCTTCGCAGCATTTTGTAGCTTCCGTGGTTTTCAGCGTTTGATAGTTCGCGGTACTGTCTCGCTGCTTCAGATTTAGCATTTGCTTTTGAAGGTATTGATCGAACGAACCCCAGTGGGGATCCCTTCCTTTCCCTTCCCATCTCCGTATGCACGAATGTGACTCAACAACGCAGAGGAGGGGATCGACATTTCCTACAGCGAAGTAGGGGTTCAACGGTGTAAGTCATGCCAGAGAAGCGAATATTCTGATTCTAATCAGTTATTACAAAGCATTTTGTTTAATCTGATAAAAAATTTTCTTTCAAAGCCGGGTTCCTCTCCCTGTGGCTTGTAGCTTGCAATTTTATCTCTCTCTTCTGTTTTCGGTTTTTGCGAAGAGATTCGAGAAATTACCTGCCAATTTCGAACGTCTGGAGGAGTTTTGTCATTTCCGAGATCTTCGCAGTTTTCGTATGACAAGATAGTTTTATCCATGTAGGCTACTCGAACGCATGTAAATATAATATCATATGTTATGTTGCCTTTATCTTCTTATCCCAACATGAACTGATTCCAAAAAAAAACCAAAAAAATAGTAGATTGGCCTATTTCTGAATAAAGATTTTCAAGAGAGTGATCCCCTCCCCAGTGTTCCCCTCGCGCATAGCAGGGACCGCTGGGGATCATTCCCTTGAGGTAACGGACGATATATCGTGATAGCTGCAGCCTTTATGGAGAACTGGTACGACTTGCAGCTTCTGTTTTGTGTTAAAACCACTGCTTTGAGTGTCTGCGCTGCCCCCCCCCCCCCTTTTCGGCAGCATAACCTCTTTTACCCCTTCCTGCATAGACACCTTGATTTCTATAGTTCAGCATTTTTACGCTGAAATGGGGCAGCATGAGCGAAAGTGAGCAGCATTCAAGAAAGCAGGAACATCGTGGGAGTAGAAAAAACCATTTTTGGTGCGCCGAGCGCAGTCACTGCGCGCATTCCGCAACCCTAAATTATTAAAATTGAGGAGATGAAGATGAGTTGCAGTCAAAAGTTGAAAATAAGAAAGAGTTTTTTATAGAAAATTTGGAAGCAAAGTGATCTCCCCGCTTGATCCCCTCTGCATAAGAGAGATCACTTCTTCCCCTCCCCACAGGGGATCCCTTGTCCGACATTGTCTTTGTGCGTACGGGGGTTCGCGTAGGGAGGGGAGGGGATCCCCAGCGGGGATCATTTCAATGGAAAACGCACATCCCTTCCCCGCGGGGATGTACGGGCATACGGGCCTAAAAATGTATACTTTTGAGCGAGCTATCTTTCTTTGCACATAATGGGGGACCTCTGGCGACAAATCTTTTGGACCCATTTTTCATAAAATCGAAGGCTGCGAAAACTTAGCATCAGAGAAAAGCTTGACAGTACCTTTTCGCGAGTGCCGCACAATTCGGGCGCAGCTGTGTGTCCAGAATAAACAGATTTCGCAACCACTTCTGATAAATTGAAATATATTCTTATTCTTCTTAAAATAAATTGAAATATATTCTTCTTTGGTGAGGAGGACTGGCAGGACGAAAAAAGTTGTGAAATTTTCAATGTTAAAAATTTTTTTTGGTACTTGGATCAGACGGGCTCCAACCAAAATGGAATTTATAAGTGCTATTGGAAAACTTAAGTCCTTCTACAAACTCACAAAATTTGTAGTTGAAAAAATGCGAAAGATTGCGTTAGAAAGCAAAATTGTGCCTAAAGTTCCAGGAACTTGAGAACTTAATAGTTACCGATCGTGTTAGGCCCGTATGCACGTACATCCCCGCGGGGAGGGGAGGGGATCTGAGAGGAGAAGCGTCATATCTCGCTAGTCTATGTATCTTTCTTCTTCTTTCTCTGTCTTGGTTTTTGAAGGTTCTCATACACTGATACTTGCGCATAACGGATGCCAGGTTACCGCCATACAAAATTAGATCACTATTTCGTCTGATCCCCTGGGGATTCCCAGGGGATCACCTCACATTTTCAAAGTTATTTATCTTTCTGAAAACTCGATGAAAATGTTCTAAAATTGTACTGTGGATATACTACAGCACTTACTTACTTAGATACTTAGATGGCCCGGCTTCACGTGACGTGCGGGCCCCAGCTCAGAAGTTTCCATTTCTCCCTGTCCCTCGCTTCTGACATACACGATCTTCTTGGCTGACGTCGGTGGCTGCGTCCACGAGTTCCAGGTGCAAAAATCGTATCCAGCTGATTTCTCAGCTGGTCCATCCGTTCCACGAACACGTCTGCCCATCTCGTTGGTGGTCTTCCTCGGGGACGTTTTGGTTCGGGAGGAATCCACTCCGATGTTCTTAGTGTCCATCTGTCGTCTGTTCTTCTCATGATGTGACCGGCCCATCGATGCTTCGCTTTCGCAACGTAGTAGGCTGGGTCACGAAGACGGGACATTCTCCTCATATCCGTACTGCGAAGTCCGACGAGATGTTGTTTGTGTCGGGTCATCTTCGGAAGACTACGCTCTAGCGCTCTGTGGGTGGTCCTTAAAGCTTTCGAAGTGGCGACGGTGTCAGCCCAAGTCTCAGCTGCGTAACAGAGCGCCTGGAGAACGGTTGAGTCGAACAGGTGGGCACGAAGCTCCGGGTCCGTCAGTTGGTCGGTGGCTTCCTTCAGAGGCCCGAAGGCGGCCCAGGCTGCTCTTTTTCTCCTGTCAAGTTCTTCCCTCAAGTCGTTCTCCATGTTCATCGAACGTCCGAGATACACGTAAGAAGACGTCTCCGTGATAGGGGTGCCTTCCAATTCCATTTCTGCATCTTCGCAAAGGGCGTTCTTCATGAACTGAGTCTTCTTCCAATTGATTCGCAATCCGATCTTCTTCCCTACTTCGTTCAGTTCCTTCAGCATCGTCTCTGTTTCAGTGATACTGCTCGAAAAGAGAACGATGTCGTCCGCAAAACGAAGGTTCGACAGGAATCTCCCATCAACTCGTATGCCTCTCTCGTCCCAGTCCAGTGACTTCATCACCCACTGCAAGGCCGCGGTGAACAGCTTCGGCGAAATTGTGTCGCCTTGTCGAACCCCCTTCCCAATTGGGATGGTCAGGGGGCGATGGAATAGCTGCACCGTCGTTGTACAGTCCTTGTAACAGTCGGCTAACGTCCTCACGTAAGCTGGGTCCACTCCTTGATCGACTAGCGCAGACAGGATGGCGTTGGTTTCGACGCTGTCAAAGGCTTTCTCGTAGTCGACAAAGGTTAGGACGAGAGGCAGTCGGTATTCCCGGCAGACTTCTATGACCCTCGAAACCGTCTGGACGTGGTCCATGCAGCTGAATCCTTTGCGAAATCCAGCTTGTTCTTGGGGTTGGGCTTCATCCAGTGTCCTTGATATGCGAGCGAGGACAATCTTCGTGAAAAGCTTGTACAGCACACTCAGCAGGGTATTGGACGATAGTTCCGGAAATTCTCTCGTTCACCCTTCTTGAAGAGAAGGACGGTTCTTGACGTTCTCCACTGGTCGGAAGTCTTCTCCTTCTGAAGGTAAGATGTCAAATGCGACGCTAGAATCTCGTGAAGACGGTGTCCTCCGGCTCGCAGAAGTTCGACGGAAAGATGATTTGGTCCTGGAGCCGCGGATGTCTTCGTGGTCTGTATCGCGATACGCACTTCAGCAGGTAGAATTCGTGGTGGTACTTCTCCAGTGGGAACAACGGGCGCACGGGTGTTGATGAGCGGAAGAGGTTGGTATAGAAGTTCTTCGCGATAGATTCCATCTTGTATCGGGAAGAAGTCGAAGTCCCGTCTTCGTTCAATAGTGCAGCCAGCGGTACGCGATATTCACAGAGATCCCTTCGGCACTTCTTGAGACTTCGTCTTCCTTCGGCTGCATCCAGTATCTTGGCTTGCCTGTACTTCCTGAGATCCTCCTGCAAAGCTGTTCTGCAACTGGCGTTGGCTATCAGTCGCTCGAGATGGGTTGCATTCGGATCCTGCCTCAGAAATCTTCTTCTTTTAAGCATTTCCTTGGTGGTCTTCGAAACGCGTTCAACATACTTCTCGGAAGTCACTGAGGCGCACTCTCCGCAGGCTCGCAATCCTTTCAGAAGCCGGTCGTAGTCGTACGTTGGGTCCTCCTCGATGGGCCAGTCACAACTTGATATGAGCTCATCCTGTTAACGTCATAAACGACTTCCTTCCTTTTCGCGGCACTATGACAGACTTTCTTTTCCAGCCTTCGGCTGAGTCGTATCTTCGCTCGAAGGAGGCGGTGATCGGAGCCACTACAGAAGGATGGAACTACAGAGACATCGAGTAAGCCCCACCTTCGGTTGGTGAGAATGTGGTCGATCTCAGCATGAGTCGTTCCGTTGGGCGATTCCCAAGTCCACCGGCGATGTTCTTTCTTCATAAAGATGGAGTTTCCATGGAAGAGTCGTGCGGCGGAGAGAAGCCCAACGAGAGGTTGCTGTTTTCGCTTCGGAGCCCATATCCAAACTTACCGATCCTATATTCCTTTTCTAGTGGCATCCCGATTTTCGCGTTGAAGTCGCCCACAACAAACTTACAAAAGGACTTCTCGTTGCGGACGACCTCCTCCACATCTTCGTAGAAAGCATCTAGTTCTGATTCGTCAGCTGCTGATGTTGGAGAATAGCAGTTGCTGATGCTGATGGCCTTACTACAGCACTGCTAAACATATTTATGGTAGAAATGAGTGAAATCTCAAGATATCAAAATCTTCGATGAACCGCTGCTCGCAAGCCAGGGATTATCGAAAAAATCAAAATCTTCAGATTCAATTCTTCTGTCGAAAACATGCTCAGCAGTATCGTAGTATATTTTCAGTACAATTTTGCAGCATTTTCATTCATTTTTCAGGAAGATAAACGACTTTAAAAATGTGAGATGGTGATCCCCAGGAGATCCCCTGGTGATCCCCAGGGGATCGGAAGAAATAGTGAATATTCAGTCTTGTATAGCAGTAATCTTGCATCTGTTATGCGCAGGTACAAGGGTATGAGAACCCTCGTAAGCAGGATAGAGAAGAAAGAAGAAAGATATCTAGAGCAGAGAGATATGGCGCTTCCCCTCTCAGATCCCCTCCCCTCCTTGCGGGGATGTACGTGCATACGGGCCTTAAACTCCCCAAATCGTCAGAATGTCAAAAAAATTGATTCATGTAAAACAAAAACAGTCAATAGTTTAGGAATACACTGGAAAATCATGGCAATGTGACATTCAATCAAATGTTCGGGCAACCTGCTATCGAAAGACTCAATGAGATCTTGAGTTTTCATTCTCCGGAATGTCATCCTCTAGTGCTGGATAATGTGATGCAATCTTGCTCAGAATTGCTTTCTTTCTAATTCTAGCATTCGGCAGGTTACAAGTGTTGAACTGTTCGTACTCCCAAATGAAGAGTCGATAAAATTTGAAGCAAATGCTTACGATGTGACTTTCGCTGTATCGGGGCGAGTTGAAGCAATATTCAAAGTATGCGCATTTGTTTTCATCCATCCAAGCCTCTTATCCATATGTTACGTCAGGTTCCAGTTCGTGTAGAAGGTAATGCCGTGATGCTCGGAGATACATTCACCCGAATAGATGTTGACGAAATCGTGACAGCGAACGAGACATGGGTTTGTAGAGGTAATACAAAAACGCTCTTTTTATTTCAATTTTGCTTTTTGATACTTACAACTTCAATCATTATAAATTAGAATTACATTCAAAGTTGTTTACTCGTAAGACATCACAATCTTGGGAAGAGAGACAAAATATGTTAGAACAAATTATTAGAATGATAAAAAAAAACTTACAAGCGCCAATGGTTTTGCTCAAGCCGAGTTCAGGAGAATATAACCTAAGGAAGTTTTGTACCTGATCTTTTACTTGACATCAGAAAGGGCTGAAGAAATTAGTAGAAGCAGGTCGGAAGTTTGAAAAGAGAGCACGTTGGCAGACCTTTCATCGACATGGGGGAGAGAGCGCCGAATCAAGTCGTTCCAAAAGTAACTCCGATTTTGAAAAAGGGCCTAGTTTTGTGTAACCAAGATTCACTAAAGACATGATAGCATTTGATCACTATTTCACGCCTTGCGCCCTTTTAAATGGCTAAACATATATTGCAGATTGAACAGCGAGTAAAAACTGCGACCCATGCCTTTTACCATAGCCAGTTTTTGCGATCTTTATAGACATAGATTAGCCAGGTTTCTACATCAAATTGGTAACAGGGCTGGAGTGATAGCTTGTTATAAAGCAGAACTCATAGTAACAACTCCCAAGCTCTAGCTGCGTCGCAACGTAAGCGAAACGCGGTCGCGACATGCTTAATTAATGTATGTCATGGACATAAGTACCTTAAATCCGCAAATTTGCGCACCGTCTTCATCATTCCATCCATGATCGCTGGCAGCAGATGCGGACGCATAAAGCAGATATAGCAGCGGAGGGAAGATTAGTTTCGGAAAACGATAAGAAGACGATACGAAAACGAGAAGCCTACCCCATGCTGAATCTTGCCTGTAAATGTAGCTGCTTACCTTGTGATTGCAGAAACTGCTTCCTGCCATTCGATATGGTAGGATAAAATCATGATTCCTCGGCAAACGATGTAACAACCCAGCGCCTCTGTCGCAGACAACCGACATAAACATCGCGGTATAAGTTCCAAGCGAAATCGACATCAAATGCAGTGCTGGACAGAGATGAATTTCGGCTTTCTATAATTCTGACACGATCAATAATACTGCGTTGATCAATTATCAAAGTCGCTTATGGAATTGATAACAAACTATTCGGCTAACTGACAAGTTCAACCTTTTTAGACCCTGAGAATGGTAACGACTTGCAGACTACTGAGTCGAACAACGCCTCCTTATCGTCATAAACAAAAACTTTGAGCCCTTTTGATCTCACTATCATCTCAATCACTTCATTTTTATGCAAAATGCATGTATATTCATGTCGTTGACAAAAATTGACTTTTCCTTTACCTTTTAGACCTTGAAAACATCTTGCACATTCTTTGTTTACAGTGATTTAAAGAATAAAAAGCCTAGCACCTTCGTGTTCACGATGGTCCCACCGCAATTTCCCGGTTTTTTCTTCTCTTTTTCTCCTGCTGTTGTGAATGATTTTATAATGTGAAATAAATCAAGCAATTAGTTGTTTGCAGAAATACAATTTTATAATGGTTTGACATCAACTTTCATATGAAATCGTTGGTTATATTTTGGCGCTCATACATCAATTTACTCCGCGTAAGTATTCACACAAAAGTTAACACGGTGCATGATGCTGATCAAGAAATATTCGCAAAGTTCGTTCCTTTGATTTACAGAATTTCTGTTCGGGACAGGTGCACGGTAGGCAGTCAGTCTCAACAATCAGTCTAGATTTTCGCCCAAGGTAAAGCGGTGTAGCACATAACCTTGGATTTACAGTCGAGTAGATTTAGCGGTAAATATAGTGTGCTTGCACAGAAGGTGAAATGCGGTAAAATTGGCGCGTGAAGAAATAGTTTCGACTGTGACGCCGGCCAATTGCGCGCGCAAGATGCCCGCGGTACTGACGTGGCTACTTATTCACGCGCAAATTTCACCGCATTTCACCTTCTGTGCAAGCACACTATATTTACCGCTAAATCTACTCGACTGTAACTGGCTTGGCTTCGAGAAGGCGGGTCTTTAAGACCTAGAGACCGCTCGTGCCCGCAATGCACCTGCGTCTCTCTCGCACGAGTCTTTGGCAGTGAGCCTTAATTAGTTCACGAAGTTCCGCCTTCCCGATCAAGCCAGCTGAATTAACTGGTATACTCATTAATTGCTGCTTGAAACTTACTGACTACGTTGCGCATACCAACCCAAGCAGGCATTCCTATATATTAGGTTGATGCAAAAGTTTTTTCGCATCAAATTCAAAAATTTATAACTTGTTGAATTCTGAACGAATTTACAGATCGAAATTATGTATAAGAGAAGGACTCAAGCTCTTTGCAACTGTACTTGAACAGTTCGTTAATGTGTACAAATGAAGGAGATAGAAGCTCAAAGCCAAAATCACTCAAAATTTGAATTTTTTGTGTAGGGTCATAAAAAATCGGAAACTTGCAACAAAAATCGGAGCAATTAGTATTGTAGGTTCTTTCACAAGCTCTTTCAACTGTGCAAAGTTGTGCTGATTGAGCGTCTTTGTGAAAAGTTATTAATTCCCTGAAACATGTCAAAACAAATCAAATTCGCTCTTTTGTATTGTTTGCTCGAAAATCATAACTTTTCAATCATGGGCGTACGTTCAAAAATGATCAAAATTGCTTCTGTACCTGCAAAAAAGTCGTCTTTGTACTTCTTATTATTAACTAGCTGGCTTGCCCGGCTCCGCCGGGCCTGCCAGCTAGACCCGTGTACGTATGTTCCGGATAGAAATGTTTATTTCTGAACCGATTGGGACCGAACTTTGCACACATACTCTTCGGGGCAGGGAGCCTGTCACAGTCCACTTTTCGTTATCGATCGATGTCGATTTTACCGATTTTTTGCAAAATTCGAGCTAGAGGGCTGGGATTTGGCAGAGGGGGGTAATCGAGCATGCTGATCACCCCGAAGGGGGTGATCAGCATGCTCGATTACCCCCTGTGCCAACTCCCAGCCCCGTAGCTCAAATTTTGCAAAAAATCGATAAAATCGATATCGATCGATAGCGAAAAGTGGACTGTGACACCCGCCGGGGCCCAAAGTGTATGTGTGCCAAGTTTGGTCCCGATCGGTTAAGAAATGGAATTTTCTATTCGGAACATACGTACAGACAGACAGACAGACATACAGACAGACATACAGACAAACAGATATTCAGCTTTATATATAAGATAAGGACATATTCTATCTACAATCGTACAAGTCGCACTTACAAGGGAAGTACCCGGAGTGGCCGTGGCCTTTTAATATGAGATGCATATTGTCTGAAGCAGCTTCGAACGCTGATTTCAAATCTGCTTTCCGTTTCTGCGGAACGATCTTCTGAAGAGAGTTATGGAAGCCTAAAAATCCTATTTTGGAGGCGCTCCTTGAGTTTGAGAGCGCTGCTATGTGCGTTGGTGGTGCAGTGGTGTAATGGTTAGTTGTTGGCATTAAAGGCGAAAGGTCAATGGTTCAAATCCAATGCAGAGATTGCACTATGAATGTGAGTTTAAAAAGCACTCTAATTCGTCTACAGACACTTACTGTTATGCCCTTGGCAAATGTGACCAGAGAAAAAAATTTTCCGGCATAACTCCTTGTGATGAGACCCTAAACTCTACTTGACTTTATCACTAGTAAAACAGGACCAAACATGGTGAAGCATGTTCATCACCATATTCAAAAAATGCGAATTATCATTAATCGAGAAGATGTTCTCTCCTGCCTTTATGCTCACAAGCCTGTTTGAAGAATGTGAAATGAATGGAATGTGAATCGAGAAATGTCTGTGTTTTGCCCACTTTGTAATTTCGCTTCACAATCTAATTTCGCTACTTTTCTCCGTACATAAATTTTTTGCGAAGATAACCAAATTTCAACAAGCAAACGGTTCTGCCAGAAAATTTTTTCTTTAGGTCACATTTGCCAAGGGCATAACAGTAAGTGTCTGTAGACGAATTAGAGTGCTTTTTAAACTCACATTCATAGTGCAAAACGGTTGTCTCTGCACCGGATTTGAACCTTTGACCTTTCGCCTTTAAGCCAACAATTAACCATTACACCACTGCACCACCAGCGCACATAGCAGCGCTCTCAAACTCAAGGAGCGCCTTGAAAATAGGATTTTCAGGCTTCCATAACTCTCTTCAGAAGATCGTTCCGCAGAAACGGAAAGCAGATTTGAAATCAGCGTTCGAAGCTGCTTCAGACGATTTACATCTCTATTAAAAGGCCGCGGCCACTCGGGGTACTTCCCTTGTTAGTTCTTGAAGGCCCATCCTTTAAATGTCGCTTCAAAAGCGAGAAAACGCTTCGGAATAACGAGGCGGCAGCGTGCAGCAGCGCCTCCTCCAGTAATGCCCGCACATTTGTGCTTGGCCATCCAATCGTCGTTCAGAAACCGCCCGCGGATTCTCCGCAACGCGAATTACCCGGGTTTCACTGATATTCAACCCATACACGGAGTCAGGGATATGAGAGGACTCCGGAATGACAAAATCATAGAAGTCGAAAATCTTTGTGGACGGTGCTTTTAAGGAGAATAGACCACGGAGGAGCAGAGGAGGAGGAGCACGTGAAAATAAGGAACCAAGGCAAGAAAGGGTTGTGATCACCGCACTGAAGCATTACCAGGGAGCTTTCTCAAATTTTGACTATCTCGTAAAGGTTGCAAAGCAAGCTTGGCAAGTTTGTCTGATTCAAACAGTATGCTCCAGATGTAGTAAAACCACCCTACGCAAATTGGAGAAAGGAAAGGAAGTATCTCAAAAATAAAGCGTTTGCCCTAATAGCTCAGATTGAAAAGGTCAGTTTCATGACGTTCTGCGCAGTTCTGTGATGGTGAGTGCTAACAATAAGATTGCCTTAAATATTGTCTTGGACAGTGGAGGACTTGGGGTTGAGAGGGCATGAGATTGCAAAGCTTAGCTAAAAGATAACTAATCCTCACTGTTGAATTACAGCCTGGTCGTGGATTTCTTGCATTGCATCTTATATATAAAGCTGAATGTCTGTTTATCTGTCTGTATGTATGTCTGTACGTATTTTCCGGATAGAAAATTCCATTTCTGAACCGATCCGGACCAAACTTGGCACACATACACTTCGGGCCCCGGCGGGTGTCATAGGCTACTTTTCGTGATCGATCGATACCGATTTTATCGATTTTATCGATTTTCTCGTAAATTTTGACATGCGGGGCTGGGAGTTTGCACAGGGGGGTAATCGAGCATGCTGATTACGAATACAATATTAGTTTTTGAAATCGTACATTACTTTTATCAATTTTATCGATTTTTTCTGCAAGTTCAAGCTACGGGACTGGGAGTTGGCACGGGGGGGGGTAATCAAGCATGCTGATTACGAATACAATATTAGTTTTCAAAATTATCGATTACTTTTATCGATTTTATCGATTTTTTGTAAAGTTTGACCTACGGGGCTGGGAGTTGGTACAGGGGTGTAATCGAGCATGGTGATTGCTAAAACAGCGGGAATATTGATTTGGCATGTAGGTGTGGGCACAGGGAAAGGTTCGTACAGGAATAGGGATAGTGTTCTTTCTTTGACATAGTGTTTTGACAGGGCCGGGCGGAGCCGGGTAAGCCAGCTAGTGCTCTTATATAAACCTATTTATCACTTTTTTTCAGTTTCTAAGTTTTGCTTTCGACCTGTAATAAGCATAGAAACGATTTTGGTGATCGAATACATACAACCTTTGGCTATATGGAACCACAGAAATTGTGTTCTACCACTTATGAACCTTTGCAGCCAAAAATGTAAGAATTTCCAGCCATTTGCGCGAGAAAGTCAGTTTTTGAGCAATCCAGATCGCTTAGATTTGACCATCTATGGTCGTAATGGTCGAGAATTTGAAAGTTTGTTGTGTTGGTACATAATGTACATTTCACACCCAAATTTGGTTCGTTTTCAAAATATGATTTTTCAAAAATTTGGCGAAAAAGTGTTATTCTATTCCATTCACTTTTCGTAATCAAAAAATTAAGTTTCGAGAAAACGGAATTGATATTTGATTTCCTTTGATTGGCCTCCCCCCCCCGGGAACCATATATTCATACAAAAAAATCATTTGTAACTTTCGTAAAAATCATTAAATATGACCAAAATTAGCCGACTTGCACGCATAGCCAAACGGTCATGAACGGACAGCTTGAACGCGAGAATGCTTTAACTTATGTCGAGATAGCCGTCCATCAATCACTTCACTGAGATGAACAGTGAAAAAAGCAATTGGCATAAACTGTCGAATCGAACATAAGAGTAAGAGCGAACAAAATCGTGCTTGGAAACGTGCATTCCTCGCCTATTGACTCTCGAGTTTCTTGCCTTTGCCAGCTTTG